GTCATTTTCTTTCACAATTTTATTATGAACTAACCTTCACCTTCGGGGAGGGAATATTCCTAATGCTTGGTATTTATTCGTGGTTTATCTTATTCGACTTCAATGAATGTTTAATGGAAGTGTACTTAATTTTTGTCTCACTATGCTTGTGTGGCCCACTTGTTTAGTGTGTTGTCTTGCTTGAGGTTCGAAAGAGCCCTTGTTAAGTAGCTTAGCTTCCTTTAGTTGTATTAATCCTCGATTTGATAGGAAGGTGGATACCTAGGGATGAGGTTCACCATACAGCGCCTATAGACCGTTCTGCGATGAGTATCTTAGGTACAGTGGGAATCGGGTTAAATTACATCTAAGGTATCTTGGGAAAGAGCCGTGAAGGTTTGGGCAGCAGATCTGGAGAGTTGAGTGGTGATAACCTTTCGAACACAAGAGCAGCTAAGAAAATCCCCCTCCTCTATTTACTTATCACTCATTTCTTCCTTGTGTTTTTAATCTTCATTGCCAACTACTTTTGGGTGTGCTGAGAGTTTGTAATAATTGGTTTCCATTGCGTGTTTAGTTTAGATAGTTTTAGAAACCGAATTAATAGATCATTGATTGCTTTTCTTTTGTTTTTCTTTGGTGATTCAAAATTCCAAAATCCGTTTCTTCATTCTATAATTCATGTGGAGACGACCTTGTTTTTTTTATACTACAACGGATTGTTTTTGTGTATACTTGTACCCATTTTCTATTAGTTGTGAGGAATCGAACAAGTTGGCACGGTAGCGGCTACATATTCTGCTTCACAGCTTGAAAGAGCAACGAAGGTTTGCTTTTTACTGCACCATGATATAGCCCTTAAACCTGTATTAAAACAGTACCCGGTTGTGGAACGTCTGTCATTGACATTACCGGTCCAATCTGCATCAACAAAACCACTTAACACAAAAGATGTAGTTTATTTATACGACAAGCCAAAACTCAAAGTGCTCTTCACATATCGAAGAATCCTCTTTGATGCAATTAAATGAGCTTCACATGGTTTCTCCTACAGAGTAAGAGATGTCAGGTCTTGTGATTTGTCAAAAAAATTAAATTACCAACAAGCTGTCGAAAAAGTGTTGCATTTGCCAATAGCTTTCTTTTTTCCTTAATCAACTTCAGGATGGCTCCATAGGAGTAGTGCTTGGCTTTGAATCCTTCATACCAAAACCATTGAGTAAACTTGCTACAAAACTTTTCTCTGAGATGAAATATCCACCTGACCTTTCAACCTCCAAACCAAGGAAACGTCTAGCTTCATCCAATGTCTTCATTTCAAAGGGAACATACAAAGCATCTTGAAAACTGTTAATTTCAACATCATCATCACCAGTTATGATCATATCATCAACATAGAGTGGAAGCATTGTACACACCGAGGTTGTCTTGTTAACAAATAGACTTGAATTTGTATTTGAATATCTGAACCCACAAAACTCAAGATATTGAGCAATTTTACCATACCAAGCACGTGGAACTTGCTTAAGGCCATACAAGGCATTCCTAAGCCAACACACATAATTTGGAAAACTCTTTTGAAACAAAACCAGAAGGTTGCTCCATAAAAGCATCTCGATCCAACTCTCCATAAAGGAAAACATTCTTCACATCCAATTGCCATAATTTCCAATCCTTGTAAGTAGGTAATGAAATAATAGTTCAGGTGGTTACCATTTTAGCAACGGGATTTAATATCTTTTCGTAGTCTAGACCATATTGTTGTGAAAAACCACGAGCAATCAGACGAGCTTTATATCGATTAATAGTACCATCAGGTCTTTTCTTCAACTTGTAAACCCATTTACAAGTAATTAACTCTACATTCTTTGGCCTTGGAACAAGCTCCCATGTGTCGTTCTTGTTTAGAGCCGAAATTTCATCCTGTATTGCCTCTTCCCATTAAAGAACACCTTTGGCTTTATTGTAAGATGGAGCTTCATCTTCACAAACATCACCCATTAAAAAACAAGATACAAATGAACAGCTATTTAATTGTACCTCATAATCAGATAAATATCTGGGTCGAGCTCTTTCTCTAAAAGACCTTCGAACTACACCCTGCATAGTTTCATCTGTTCAAACACTTTCTTCAAGACTATCTATTAGGGTTGACTTTTTGCTACATAAATGTGACTCAGTAGACTTGTTTGACCATAAAAACGAACCCCTTTTCCATCATTTTTAAGTAAAAAGGTTTACATATTCTTAAAGTAGAACATGCATAGAACATTTATGGATAAGTTGCAATATATGGTACTTTAGGACATATGTGAGAAAAACGTGCTCAAAGTTGGAAGAAAATCATAGTTTTCTATTTCGCAGGAAATGCGCCTGACACAATTTTGCATGGTCAACCCCCCATCAATTTTGCATGGTCAATTTTGCAGGAAATGCGCCTGACACAATTTTGTGAGTCCAAGTCAAGGAGAAGTTATTTGAAGAATATTAACACATTCCCTCCTAAATTGGTGGAAAGTTCAACCTCTTTGAAGGCTTATATAAGGAGACCTCTCCCCCGTCACTTCGTCATCCCATTTTCATCTTCATTTATTTCATTCTTAGCTAGAGTTCATAGGAGTTATGTTTTAGTTCTTTCCTTGTATTTTCACACTTTTACTTATTGTGTTGCTTTTAATTCAACTTCTTACTTTCGTTCTTCATCTATTCTGTTCTTTTAAAGTTCTTAAGCAATTTTACACTCCCTTCACACTCGAAAGAGAAGAATGTCAAACTAAAACTCCCGTACACCATTATTATTCATTTAAATTTAATGAAAAATACTTCTCTTGTGTTTTCCTGCGTTTTCTTTCATTTAATTATGCACTAATTTATTTGTCAACCTCTTTGTGGAATGTCTTAGCCGAAATGATTTGATTTCGAACATGCTTAGGATTTGTCCAGATTGGCGCAATCTAGGGTTGGTTTCTAAAAAAATTTCTTTACGTCTTTTTTCCACGTGGCCGGCCATTGGGAAATTGAATTATGCACCAAAGACCAACTCTGAGTAGATTAGGTTAGGTAAAATAATAGGAAACCAATATAGGACGTGACTTAGACATAAGCGAATAAAACACAGTCCTAGACATAGGCCCTCTGACCCATAAATGCAAATGAGTTGATAAATACTTTCTAGGATTGTAATCACACATAGAAATATGATTGTAGATTAACCTGGCCTCTACAACAACCAAAAGCGGTCCGTTAAAGAGTAGAACTCATATTCCCAAGATTAGCTAGACAGTGGCTGGTGCATTTCCCCTAAGTATGTATCTTCGCTAAGGTAGGAAGGAGAGAGGTTGTATTTTATTAAATTGCTTGCTATTTGAAACCCCAAATAACAACATTATTTTATCATTATTTTCTTCATAAACCACAACTGCACTTTGAACCATTTCACTACATTTCTTGATTTTGAAAGCATAAGTCCCTGAGGATTCGACCTTGGATTACTCCCAAGTATTATTTGTGACCATGTACGCTTGCACATGTCTCTTATCTTTTAAAGGAAGAGAAAGTGTTGGAATTTTTTGAATAAAATTATTTTTGTTAAAATTGATTAATCACAACTTTTCATGAACTTGTACGTTTTCTATAAATGTTATGTCCTTTTATCAAAAGACGTAACTTTATATGAAAAGATATGACTATTTGAATGGCCACAAATAGTCTATAAATACGTGATTCTTCTCAGTTTTCCAACATAGAAAATCATCCCTCAAATTTCTCTCTTTTCCTCTCTATACGAGTATTTAAATACTAAGGGTTCGTTGTGTCATGTGCGTGAAGTACTGCATTTATAGGTTGGTATATCCATCCTATCCTAGGAGACAATTGTTCATGAAACCTTGAGCACCGTAGAGAGAACAAAATTGTCTTAAGGAAACAACGCTACGTTGGGTTCGGATTTTTAATTTTGTGTTTCCTTAAGTTTTCTATGCATATTTCTCCAACGATCTTAAGACAATTTTGCTCTGATTATTTAATTTTGTTCCTTTTATTATGCGAACTTGTATATTTATGATTAATGGAATAGAACCCATCCGTCATTGTATTTTAGTTATAACTTTGATGATTATGTTGTGTTAAGTGATTCTGCTATTTGTGTTAACAATTTTTTTTTATTGATGCATTTGATTTTCTTTTCTTTCTCTTTTTCTTTGTGGGTTCACTTCCCCGTAAGACTTTCCTTAACAAGTCGTGGAGTTTTTATTTCGATAAGTTTCAAATGTCTCTACTTTAAAAATTTTAGTTATTTTTTCATGTTTTGCGTGTCAGTGGCATTTGCATCGTTTCAATTTATTTCAATTATTGTTGGTTTGCGATTTTGTCTTACATCTTTTCAAAGGTTCGTAATTGCTATTTCTATTTTTTATACATTTGTTATTTTGCCGGATTCTCTTTTATTAATTTTTATACTCTGTTTTATTGTTGGTGTGTTTCGATGTTTGAAATTTATCTTGTATAAAATAGTCTTATCAATGTAAATTTATCTTGAAATTTTTTTTCTTGTACATCTTCATGCTACTGATATGTACATTCCTTTTCTTGACTCTGTTTTTCATCCTACTATTTGTGAATTCCTATTTATAGTGCCTATGTCTTTTATTTAGAATTTTATTGTTTAAAAGTTCTACTCCTTTTCTGTGTTGCAAGTTTCATGCTCCATGTACTCAGTTTTATCTCTTTTTAAGTTTGAGTGCTCTACTGTATTTTCCTTTTAAGTTAATTAAATTGAATTTTGCAATTAGTTGAGTTATCCATTTATTTTGCTTGATACAAATTCACGAAAATATTTTATGATCAAATTCACATAAATGTCTTTGATGATATCGAAGATATCGAGTCCCATACCACATGGTGGTGGAAATTATGGGAAAAAGCCTGAGAAGTTTAATGGCAATGA